CACGCCGACTCCCCAGCATGCCCTTCCTGTGTGCCCCGTTGCCAGCTGGGGGCCAAGCATTAAAAATTTCCCTTCCCCCCCTCCTCAACCCCTCAAGTCCTACTACGATGTTGTTGCTTGCTTGTGCGCCCAGTAACGCAAGCCCTGCTAATTTCCCTGCCAGCCGAAGCCCTGCCTCTTTGCGTAATTACTCTGCTTGGCAGCTGCCTTCCCTCTGCGAGTTGCTGTGCAGAGCCTTTGCCGCCCGTATGGTTGTTGTATTACTCATCCTCACCCGCTTCCCAGGGCTCCGGCGCTGGGGACCGCCGCAGCTTTGCCAACCGGCGAGTCACCGCTGCACGGCCATTGCACAACTGCTGCCGGGGTGTTGGGTGGCACCGCCGCTGCGAAGCCGCTGTACGGCCACTCTACAGCCGGTGCACGGCCCTGGCATGACCGATGTACCGCCACGGCATGGTCACTGCATAGGCACCGCACAGCCGTTGCGCAGCCACTATACAACTGCTGCATGGCCACTGTGTGACCATTGCATGGCCAGTAAATGACCATTGCATGGCCAGTGAATGACCATCATGCGGCCACTGCGTGACCATTGCACGGCCAGTAAATGACCAGCACGTGGCCACTGTGTGACCACTGCATGGCCACTAAATGACCGCTGCACGGCCACTGCACAGCCAAATTCCCACCCATGTCACCCCACTGATGGGGTTTTGCCCCCCTTGCTCCCCCCGAGAGCTGACGTGTGCTGCTGTGCCACTCTCACGGTGGCCCGGCACTGACAGTGGGGGGCTCAGGCCATTTCCCCACCTCAGTAGGATGAGTCCGTGCCCACCCCAGAAGTTTTTGCACCTACACCGATGGGCACGGTGCGTGCATGCTGCTCAGCGTCTGGGCAGCACCACACACCCTGCCGTGCCCTCTGCATGCACTGCCTGCCTGCCCTGCCTGCGCTTCCCAGCCCAAAGCACTGGGGTTGTCCCCGTTCCTGCCCTCATTTCCCACGGGGTTTTTCTCAAGGACCCCCTTGTGGGTGAGTGACATGGCCCCACCAGTGATGGCCCACCGGCATTGGAGGAAAATCCCCCCTGCACACAGCTGCATGCCCGCCCCACTGCCTGCCTGGCTTTGCATAGGCGGCACCGGCTGGCACATGCAAATGCCGGTGGTGCATGTGCGTTTGGACACGTGGCGCATGGTGCAGTCCCCCGCTGGCACACACGTCGAGGCTTTGCAGAGCACCAGCCATCACCGAGGCATCCCAAGGCAGCACCCTGTTTTTCTGGGGTGCCATCCCAGGGCTCCTTTGGGCTCTGCCGCTGTGTCTGGCTGCTCACCAGGACGGCAGAGACCTGACCTCGGGAGCGACCACGCTCTTGGCTAGATGGGCTGTCCCACACATCCATCCCAATGCCGTGCAAGCCGTCGCATGCTTTGCAAACCCATCCCCACGGACCTGCCAACACCCTGCCCATGGCCACCTCGCGGGGACCTGCCGGGAAAAGCCAGAAACTCTCCATCTCCCGGTTAATTTGGGGTGTAGCCAAAGGATGCTATCAAATACCTGGCACCAGCCAAGGTGGTCGAGCTGAGGCTGAGCCAGGCAGCCGTGTGCCC